AAGCATTTTTTGTTGTTCAGTTACTTTATGTATTAATTAAATTTAAATCTAGTTAATTAAAATGTGCTTCTTACGTTTTAAACCCTATTTTTGGCCGCCCACCCAGTATAGTGGTTAGCGCCGCTGACTGCGGTGCCGTAGGGACTGGGCTCGAATCTCAGAGAAGGCATGGATGTTTGTGTTGTAATCCTTCCTTCTCTCATTTGTGTTATAAGTCCCCGTGTTATACATTGTGTGGTGTATGGGGTTTATAAATGTTCTCAATAAAAAAACACCCTATTTTTCAATACAGTGAGAAATTTAATTATTTTATAGTAAGTATATAGCTCGATACTAGCTGTCAAAAAGACATTTAAGTTGATAAATTTGGAAAATTCAATATATTTGGTGAGCAGGAGTCTACTCTAAGCCAAACAACAGGGCAAGGGTTCTATGTGCCAAAAATGTTTTGGTTTAAATAAATCATGACAAAAAAAGGATCTTTATAACTTTTTGAAAATCTTAATAAGCTAATTCAATAATCCAAAGAAACGCAGCCGTTATATGAAAAGAGAAACATATACAACTTCGCATTTATTTGATAATCAGTTTTAAAAATATATAATTCAAGTATACATTATTGAATCACCCTCGTTACTGCAAAGATTATGATCTGAAAATTAATACGTAAGCAGATATATTTTCTAATAAGATCTTGTTAATTAACATCAATGTTTCTATAATCCTTAATTAAATAATATTGTCTAAGTTATGTGGGAATATATTTGCTTAAAAATTTATTCATGTATATTTTAATGAAAATTTCTTCGCTTAGGATTGAAGGAGGAGAACTTTTTGAAAGAGTGATAAGCGATGATTTCGTACTTACAGAAAAGGCTTGCTCCATTTTCGTTCGTCAAATATGCGAAGGCTTAGAATACATGCATTCTAAAAATATTCTGCATCTAGATATGAAGGTATAGTTAAAATTGTATTTTGTTTTTTATTTGCTTGCTGGAAATTTTTGGTTACTCAAAAAACAAAGCTTTAAGAAATTTTAATATTATTTAGTTTGCTGAAGTCCCTTAAGAAAAAAAATTTATTCATCAATAACGTGAAAATGACATAGCAAATATAACAACTGTTATAATGAATATTATATATTTTATTACATATTTGTTTCTTTAATTAATTTCTAAATTAAAAATGATTTTAACTGAATATTGAACGAAAAGTATTTCACAGTTGGAAAACTTTGTGTACAATGAAACACCAACAACATACCCCATTTCCTCATCTTTCTAAAAATAAATTCTTTTTTCACTTTCAGCATAATTCAGATTTCTTTTTCTTTCTCGAAGATGCGTTTAATTCTTCCGTTTACATGCTGTATTTAATATTTTATGTGCCATGAGTTATTTCGCACAATTTTTGTACTTTTATTGGGGTGAGTGATTTTGAGATGATATGGAAGTAATTTCCAAAAACAAATTTATCTACAAATAGAATTATAAACTCCCATTTAAATGTAAAAATTCTGTAAAAGATTAACTATCAGAGTATTACTGTATTTATTGTTCTCACTGTGACAGTTTACGTGATTTTATTACAACATTTATATATAAGAAATTCTTATGCTACATACAAAGATGAAAGAAAGTCTTCTTTTCCTGAATATATTATATATACTGTTAAGTAAAATAAACTTTATACTATAGAATTATTTAATATTTTTACATTTGTGTGGAAAATTTACTTTCCATTACACTGTGCACGCTATTTTTAAATAAGAGCCTTATTAAATATGTTAATTTATCTGACAAGATGATAAAGAAATAGAAATGGTAATGATGGGGACACAGGCCCTGTAAAATTAGTTGAGTACCACGGAAATGACATTTGAATAAGATTCATCTAATATAACAAAGCAAACACCATTACTACAATACTTCTCTTTAAACAATCGTAGACGATTGAATTACTTAAAAAGCTAGCGTGAAATAAGTGTTTTGTCTTAGAAAGCCTTATTAACGATATGTTATTGGTAGTATTAAATATAATTTGAAGAGGTCAATGTATACGACTACCCTAAAATTGTAAAATTTGCCAAAAATTGACAATTTTTTATGATTTTATATAATATGCCATTTTATTAGCTTTATAAAGATAACAAGTTTATTATTTTCTGTTTACAAGAACAAAAACTACAAGTGTTTTAGTAAAAACAGATGTCATTACTTTAAGCAAGATGTCATACTTTAAAGCCCGTTTTACTCGAAATGTGTCTTTTTGAAAATGCTCAAACAAGGACAATAATTGCTAAAAAGTTTTGAAAATAATAAACTGAAATTTTTTGTGTATATTCTGTATAATAGTATAAGTGTTTTAACCTTCAGATTTATCAATCACGGTTTTATTACAAAATTTACAGTCCCTTATGTGAATATAATCACCGTTTTCTTAAGCAGTTTCATATAATAACTATGAAAAAGTTCTCTAGCTTTTGTAAAAATTAAAATAACTCTTATCCTGAAGGTAATTTCAAAACTGAATAGAAAAGCAACACATCAAAATTGAAAATTTGATCATAAACTTTTTGTACAGATTGGGCCCTATTTATGTAATTTTTTGTAAATTTTTACCCAGTTTTCCTATTTTAGTATTAATAATTTATTTTAATCTTCTTAATTTTAGCACATTTTTCTTAAAATGTACTAAACAAATCTAAAACCCACGAAAAATTCCTATGTCTCTATTTTTTTAAGTTGTTGCAAGTAGTCGGATACCTTAAGAAAAATAAAGACTTGGAAATGAACTTGTGCACCATTTTGTAGTAGAATATAATTTTACGAATCAGTTTGGTTACAGTAGCTGATTGGTCATGATCGTGAACTCGTGGCTGGACTAAAGACCCCACTTGTAGCAGGTTAATGCACGAAAAATCACAATCAGGGCTCTGAGTCCTCACATAGGCGCGATGTAGAATTTTGCAGAATGCAATTGTGGAGTGCCGTTTTCGTCACTTGTCCGTGGTTCAAAATTACAACAGCTTTGGTGTTGTTTTGAAATACGATGTTAATAAACAATAAATCAATGAATCTGAAATCAAATAAATTAAATTTATCTCTAAATAAAATTGTGAAAAAAAACTTGATTGCATCAAATTGTGGTCTTGGTAGCCCGATGCTTAAATCGGTGAGTTTAGCGACTGGTTTGGAGTCAAATCGTAACTGATACCCCAATTCCATCCAAAATCGTCGTGAAGAGTAAAGAGGATTACAAAATGATAACTTGAGCTTTTGTTTCTATAACAAAATAGCGTTATTTGAAAATTAAGTATTAGTTGAAATTCTATCCTGTTTTTGGCCGTTGTTCTAAATTATGGAGCTTGTTACCTGGAGCCCATTTGTGTTGCAACATTGGTACATACACACACAAATCGAAATGTAAATGTTTTGAAGATGGTTTGGATTAAACAATACACATATTGTGTGGTTATGCGTTTAAAATATTAATACTTATACTTCAATATTTTCATTTTAATTAATAAGTAACTTTTGATTCTGTTGTAGTATTTTTATTAACTATTCGCCTAAATAAATTTTCAAAACGCCATAATTTTATTACATTCGTTGTTTCGTGTTTATTAAAAAATTTACTTAATCAGAAAAATCGATAAAGTGTGGTGGTCAAAGGGATTCTTAATGTTCAAATAGTGTAAATATGAATCTTCATTCATATGCAAAAGCCTAACTCATGAAATATGAGATGCTATTGTGAACTTTCATTAGAACTAGACCTCAGACTTCTCTTGCGGTATCAACATTTACCTAGTCTCTTCATAAGTTCTCTTCACAGCGGTATAAAAAATAAGATCTGTCATTACTAGACTTTTATAGCTTCAAACATAATTTTGTTTTGGGAATAAAGAATTTGCAATTCTAAAATACTACAGCGATCTTTCTTTTCATCTACATGTATTTAATTGTTGCACTTTTGCATTCGCTTTTGTAAGGACACAAAGGATTAACTCCAATTTTTAACTTTCCATTTTGTCAAACAGTACTCACATTATTATTTTCTTCATTTTATCTAAATTGCAAATACCCGATTCATAGTAAATATTAGCTTGATACATTTGATTATTATTGTATTAAGAAATGTTTGGAACTTATACTAATTAAATAGACCTACCGACTTATCAGCTGGTGTTTATTTCTGGGTAAACCAATTACATAAATATTGACATGAACTATTATGTCAGAAATTATAATATATGTATCGGAATTGAAAATAATCAAGGTCTTTATCTTAATATAAACATAGCGAAAACTTGTTATGATAAAATATATAAATTTGCTTGTCTTTTAGTTATAGGAAATAATCTATTTTTAAGTGGAATTTAAATTTAAAAATTCAGAGCTATTTAAACGGATTGTGTTTTTGTGTATGTTTTTACTATTTATAAGCCAAACATTTTTATTATTTATGTTGTGCTATTTACTATCTATGTGGGGAGGTTTTATGTATTACATTTTAAATGAGCCGGCTGGGTGACGTAGTTGTTTTGGCGTTGGCCTTGTATGCCCAAGTTTGCGGGTTCGACCCCGGTGCAAGTCGGTGGATTTTTCGGATGCAAAAAATCGTCAACGTCCATGTCGTATGATTATGCGGCATGGGAAAGATCCCTTGAGTGCCTGTTTGACTTGGGTGCTCTCGGTGAAATTAAATTCCTAGTACGGTTTTGCATCGTGAGAGCTCTATTTGTACAAATTTTCAATCGTTAATAAAACAACTTCTATTCATTCATTCAAGTTCAAATATATTTTTTAAATTTGTAGTGGATGGCACTTGTTGTTAATACAGTTTTTTCAAATATTAATTCATTAATATTTAAAAATTTAATATATTAACATTAAAAATATGAACATTCAATATATAAACATTAAAAAAATGAATAAATAATTACAAACAAAAATAATAGTCCAACAGCATATATGGAAAAGAAAATCGTTCATTGTGTCCCTGTGGCGCAATGGGTAGCACGTTGGACTTCTGATCCAAAGGTCATGGGTTCGAATCCTACGTGGGATGGCTTAGTTTCCGAGAATGTAGTTTCATTTTTATTATACTGTTTTATTGGAATAATTAAATTTAATGAATGAATAAAAGACCAAACAAACAAAAAAATAGTCCAACACCATGTATAGAAAGGAAAATGGAAAATTGCAAGGAAAATCTCTTTCTATTTTGTCACTTAATTTTGTGATTCTGTGTCACATGCATATGCATATTTATATTAATTGTAACTATTTAATAAAAAGTAACTAAAATAAAAATTTTTCTTTATTGACCTAAGTAGGAATTTACCTTAAATTTTTTTTTCTTCTTATTTTACTTGTTTAGAATGAATTTTTCGCGTATTCCGTTCAGGCAGAAATGATTACGTAGAAGTATAGCTATGAATTATGCTATTCGCTTATTCTTAAAATAATAAAATTCTGACTCTAAATAACGAAACTGTGTCTAATAATGTAAATACGTTTCTATGAAATGATCAATTTTCCAGTACATTGTTGATAAGCAGTATTTTTAAATAACTGATAGCGTCTCGCTTTATCATGAAGTAACACTGTTATCTCTTTTTCTTGTATGCCTTGCTCAGAGTATCTCCCTTCGTTTCAGCCAGAAAACATTCTATGCATTTCACGGACTGGTAATCAGATCAAGATAATAGATTTTGGACTTGCGCGGAAATATGACCCAAATAAGAAGCTGCAAGTTTTGTTTGGTACACCCGAGTTTGTGGCTCCTGAAGTAGTGAATTTCGATAAAGTATCTTACACGACCGATATGTGGAGTGTGGGTGTCATTTGCTATGTTTTGTAAGTTATGTTGAAATTAAATTTATTTTTTAAGACTTTATGAAATATTATGGATATAGGATTATTAAAATAAAAATATGAAAATGAATGTCATATTTTTAAACTAGTATATGGAACAAAACATTTGAATGTTTAAAATTTCAAATACTAACATATTCATATTTTGGAGTACGTATAATTTAAAGTAATTACTTTGTGGAAAAGTCTAGTTTTTTTCTTTATAATACAAATTTCAGTTTTTGTTGCCAAATTATTCCGACGATGAGAAGTGCTCGATATTGTGTTATGTTGTACATTTTATGGAAGTTTTTGCATTTGATGCTTTAAATATTTCTGCAAAAGATATATTTAATGTGATTTGCTTACAAAGTTAAGTAAAAAAAAAGTTTGACAAAAATAAAATTGAAGTTAATATATATTTTGTCCTGATGAGTTTTAAATTATATATTTTTATACTGACTGTATATAATTCTATCTAATTATAATCCAACTAAATCAAATTCATACATTACATTTGAAACGTATTTTTGAGAAACAATACGACCTTAATGCCTTTCTAATCATGCATTTTTCTTTTAATCTTTAAAATAACATATATTTACTAACATATAATTGCGCAATATTTTGGGTTTGTAAATTTGATGCTTGATAATCTTCTAAATATGCGTAGATTCCTTGTAAATGTTTCGTAACTTTATTGTGAAATCATTTGTTAAAAATTGAAACTCATTAACAATTTTACGGAATTATGATTATATAATGTCAAATAATACTAGAAAACACGATTTGACTCTTAAAGAATTTGTCTTGAAATTGTAGTTCATTGATAAAGTAACAGAAAACAAATATTATTAAATAATCATTTTCTTATAAAGTATAAATAATTACATGCAAAAGTTCTGCATGCCACTTAAAAGTAAATGTGAAGCTAGTTATTTAGTATTAATTAACATAATAATACTATGTATATTTTCTAAGAAAAATCAATTGAATCAATATTTTGATATTCTTTTTGAATAAATTGTATTCTTTTACACATATGTGAAAGATATCCTATTTCTCAAGTGTTCGGAAAATTAAAGGACAGATAATGTAAAGAAAAATAGAAAATTTTATCTATATTAGACATAAGATAAAAACTCTTGATTAGAGGAAAACTGATAACAATTGTTTTCAAGTGTAGATAACATAAATCGAAGATGATAGTTTCAGTATTCGTTTTGAGAAAATTCTGAAATGTGGGTACTTATATATTATCGCAACATTGCAAACTATTGATAACTCGCAAAGTTGGCAACCCCTATTTCCTACGCGCCGTACGCATTAAGTTGACATCCATGTGCTTCGTTTCATTTAATGTCGCCAGTATTTTGCAATAATACCTAAGTACCCCCTTAAATATTATTTATTCCAGTATGGATTATTTACAAAATGAAAACTTTTGCTTTCGACGTTAAGTTATCCTTGTATTTAAAGTGATATCCATTCCCTAAAGCATTCGATCTATTCAATTTTTTTTTAATTCAATTTCGTAGGCTGTCCGGTTTATCACCATTCATGGGTGACTCAGATTTAGAAACCATGGGAAACGTCACGAAGGCAGAGTATGACTTCAATGACGAAAGTTTTGATAATATCTCAAATCCTGCAAAAGACTTTATATCGAAGTTGTTGATAAAAGATTTATCGTAAGTAAGCCCATCTTCAATAATTACTTCTTAAATCCTTTTCTTAACATTTTGAATAAATAAATCAAGCTCATTATTATCATGTTATAGTATTTGTACAATCCAGATGTAAAAACTGTATTAGTAACATATTTATTTCTAATATTGAATCAATTCTTGTTTTTCATCATTAGCCTAGTTTTTCACTTATTGCACTTATTCCATTTATTATCGAAACATATATTGATAAAACGAAAAAATTAAGAATAATTCATGTATATATGTTGAATGGATATTGGAGTTCTTGCTTTCTGCAAGGAAGCTTAAACTCCTGTCGTGAGAATAATAGGGGTTACAGGGGTTCATCTTTACCTTAGCCCTTTGCTGCATTTAATGGTAATAAGCATTCTAAAGTTAAGTTTACAAAAAATATGAAAATTTTACTTTAGAATCAATTATTCAATTTAAGAGCAAAATGTGAGAATTTAAATATGAAAAAACTTTATTACAATACGTACGTGTAGAATGTTTTTGTTTAAGTGTATTGAATTATTCATTTAGTGTGAATGGGGTTTATAAGAACTTGAAATTAGAAGAATTTTCTTTTGAAAGATTTAGATGGACAAGTGAAGATATGCCAACTTTAGGTCGCATATTAAATCAGATATTGGAGTAAAAATAACAGGAGTTCCAGCGTATGAGGTTTATCTGAACTCCAATTTTTTTCTCGTCACACGAGTGCTTTCGGAAAATACGATACCAATATTCTTATGTCGTTTTAATTGAAAGTGACGAAATCCATCATCAGTTAGACCATCCTAATGTTTTAAGGTTAAATTATATTAAAAAGTTTGCTTCTTTTTATTTATTTGGATATTGTCTGGTAACTTTCCCTCTCGTGCATTGTATAACCTCTAAAAGACTTTCCTTCTTTAGTTAAGTACTAAATTCAGAGAAGAAGAATTTATGATTATAAGTTGCTCGAGTGAAATTTTTTCTCCCACAGAGTTTAATAATTATAACACTCTATAGTTAATTCCAAGGCAAAACTTCTCCGCACTCAGTTATAACTCCTATAGGAATGAAAGATTCTTCCTGATTAGGGTGGAATTTCATATTCATCTTTACACTCTATATGTCACATGATTAATTTCCATTCACATTTACTAGTGTTGAAGAAACAATTATTGCAACTCACCCATCTCCCAAGGCGAGAAACTCATTCTCATAATTTCGTTGTATATTCATCCTCTTTCTATCACATCTCACCTATTTTGGAAAGAATTAAGATGTAACTTTTAGTCTTGGTTATACTTCGACAATTTGCTGAGACTTCAGTGTCTGGCATGTTAGTAGAGCTATCCCAATTCTTCAAAGATAGTTGAAAACAAAAAAATTTTATTAGCCAAAAAGAATTTGTAGTCTTTTCCTACTCCATCTAAGTCGTTCGATTCCGTCATTGCTCCACACTAGGTCTAAAACTAACGGATCATTTTGAATGGCCTTGCGAAAACTCTATTCTCTCTAATCTCCACTCAGATCACAATTTAGTTGAAATTAGTTTTCCTACACCAAACTAAAATTTTTCTACTATCTCCTAATTCTGAAACCAATAATTCATCAGCAGACTAAATGTTTTAATATGCAACTGGGGAACATTTCTCTCCCTTCCAAGCAAGTACAGAAATTACATATAAACTACACACACAATTTGTAACAGCTCCCAGAATTCTGACTACCAAATTCCGACGGTTAAGTACTCGAATATGCGACTCGAACATGACCTGAAAGTATTAGTAGTTGTCTTGACAGAAACCAGGAAATTACTACAAACACATATTATCAAGTTCATGAACTTTTTAACTAACAATCCCTATTCAAGCATTACGAGGGACGTCATTTGACCTCGGTGCAAAATTACGAATTGCTTCGTCAATAGATCTCGGGTAATTTTAAAGTGCAACGTTAATATGTGATCAAAATAGATTTTAACTAAAATGAGGAATTGTTGCGAATTAATAAAGACGTTAAATATTTTAGCCTAAATCGAGAAAAATAGTTTTTCATTTGTACCCATATGCAAAATTAACTCTTCTAAATTTCTCTCTTTCCTAACGTAAACGAAGGAAATATTTCATTATAGTACTGTCCTAATGCCCTCAAACTAATTGGATTAGAAATAATGCTGAAGGAACATGTCTTACTTCCAAACCTAATTTTGAAGTTATTATCCAGTTATATAATCAAATATGTCTTGACATGCATGCCATAAATTATTTATAGTTAAAATGTCTCACAAAAATTGATAATCTCGAATTCCTAGTGTGAAAAGAAAACTTTTCTCCTACTTTTATCTTTCACCCCTTAAATTAATTTTTTATAAAGAAAATGTTTGTTTTCATCAAACGGTTCTCTAAAATTTTTGGTCTTATCATAGAAATCATTTTCAGCTCTTTATATCGTTGCAAATCTTGATCACTTGAATGTTACAGTTTTATAAACTAGCTTTGTTGGATTATTGAAACTCATCTAGATGTACATC